ACTCGGTGACCGCCCCAACTCGCTCGCCGTTCAAATGTCGCGCGCGATCACCAGGGTGCGACAGGAAGGCTGGCCGCGGAATATTTCTGGCCATGGTGGCAAACTTTGCCGCGCACTCGATGTCCTTGTTTTTTGATCGCGGGTGCTTTTGGCCCGAGAGGAAGTAGCCCGCACAGGGCCCGCACTGCTGACTTGCACGTCGGCTATAACAGCGAAATGATCATCATATCGCATAGACAGATCCACTGTCGGATCACCCCCCTGTCGACTGATCGAATTGAGAGAAGCCCCAGGCACCGTCGCGCAGTCAACGGGGCGTCTCGGGCCCGAGGGGGCCGCGCCAGGCGGCGTCCACGCGCCGTGCATGCCGCGGGAAGGTCCCGAAAAAGTAGACGCCGCACTCTGTCCGGTAACACGTGGGAAATCGCGAAACAGGTGCCCAGCATCGCTTTCCTGCTCGGCTTCAACGGGGCCCGCGCGGCTGGACTGAACCGCCCCGACAGTGGCGTTTGCGCCCAGTAGACAAAACAGCGGGGCCTGACTAGGCCGCGAGAGTACAATATCGCGCATGCGTGTCCACCACTGCGCTGCCATGTCGAGACCTCCCGTCGCGCGCGCATAAAGCGCGCGCAACAAGAACATCGATACGTAGCGAGGAACCGCGCACATCTACAAGCAAATGCCTAAATCATGTGAGAGTACCCGACAGTGTCGTCTGTTTAGCGCGCCCCCAGGAAGGCACTCCAATCCTGCGCTCACCCACAACGCAAACCCATAGCAAATATTTGCTTCGGCTGCTGACGCCATCGCGAGATGCGGATCAACCTCGCGCCAAGTGTTGTACCTCAGTAGCGTCTGAGGCGCGCGTGCGAACAAATATTGGCAACGGGCAAACTCATGCGGAAGGCCCAGCATGCGACCGGGGATATTAATGCCAGCTGCATCCCCGCACGTGCATCGTATACGCATTCATTGAGGGCGCGTAGGTCGTCTCCGCGGTCGCAGTGCAAGTACGCTAGCGACTGCGAGCCTGAATTTACAGAAAGACGATGGCGCGGTATCATTCGGACTGTCCGGGTCTGGATGCTGACTATCTCGGACCGTCGGCCCATCAGCGAGCGACGAGACAGCTCGCAGAGGGGGCACCCCCGCAGGAGCAATCTTGTCGAGGCGGGCTGGGGCCAGCTTTGGGAACTCCCTCGCACCGCGGTGGGCGTCGGCTGTCAACCATAACCATGGAACCTTGTCCACTGAGAGAGCAGCACAGACCGAGGCACCCGGTCTTCTGGGCGATCCGATAGATCCCTGATCGACGCTAGGCGAACAAGTGCATCTACAAGTTCGTTCAGTGGATAGGCAGTGTGACCTGGGGAATGCAACCGCGTTGTCGCAGTGCGTACTCGCGCGAGCTTTACGAGTGAGTCTAGCAGGATGGGCCACGCACCGCAAGAGCTGCACATCGCACATCCTGCAGCAGCTTCTACCACCATCATGTTATCCGAACGAACAATGATGCACCTCGAGTGATAGATCGAAGGTGCCTGAAGAGCCAACAAACAAACCAAAGAGCAGAATGAAACTCGGCGGGGCTCGAAAGGCTCACGTACTCCTCTTTCAAAAGATGGGGCGGATCCGGCCATGTAACCACCCATCCGATGTCTGCCGTCCTGCGTCGCGCCACGCACAGCAAACGCCCATGATGGCGGCCCCTGCATGTCCGTGCTGTCGGACCCTCCCGATCCGTCTGTGCACGCTACAAACTGATAGATGTCATCGTCGTGAACATCATTAGAAGAGGCATGCTGCACCAGGAACTCAACGGCACTGGAATGAAGAAGATTGCGAAAAAGGCATGGCACAGGATGTTGCGTGGATGGCGGCGCCACGAAAATGGGAGGGGGCGCTGCGAATTGCCGTTGGGCCGCGAGCAATGCTGCTAAGCTGCCGCAGTCGGGAACTGGACTGACGAGCGGCATGTCCGAAAAAAGTGGCGGGGCTGAGCGCCCCGGCAGAGCCGCGGCGCTCGGGGCCCACCCGGGCTGATCCCCACTGGCGCCTAGCGGCTCTGCGAGCTGGCCCGCCCCTGCTGCGACGGACTCGCCCGCGTCGCGTCGATATCGCCCTCAGAACTCTGGCCAGCGCGAACTTCCTCCGCGTTCGCGCGGCGCGGGCTGCGTTCGCGGCTTCCGCCGCCTGCTGGCCCACCTCTACCCGCTGGTTCGGGGCGCTCCGCGCCCGGCACCGCGCGCGGGGGCGCGCCTCCTGGAGTCGTCGCAGAACTCGACGCTGCGATGACTGTCTTCAGGGCGGGCTGCCCAACAGCCGCCGAGCCCCAGGCCTGCAGGGCTGCCTTCTCGCCCGCCGCCGCCTTCGCGCGAGCCTCGGCAGCAGCGCGAGCGCGCGCCTGGCAAGCCGCCTTGCGCTCATCCGACGCAGCCTGACTGGCATCTGCCGTGGCGTTCTCATCCTTGTCTGCGTCCGCTGCGCCAATCGCTGCCTGCGCCTGGAGCTGAGCTGCCGCCGTCGCAGGATATGCTGCGGCAGGGGGCTGCGCAGCAGCAGCATGCGGCACTGCGGCGACGCGCTGCGTGGGCTGCGCAGCAGGGGCAGGATTGGCATCGGCAGCTGGCTGCGCGGCTGGAGTCGCCGCCTTGCTCGCTGCCGCCGTGATCTGCGTCAGCGCCGATTGCAGTCCGCCCAGGACCGTGGCCAGCCCCGCGATATACTGCGCCATGCTCACCTGGCCCTGCTGGAGCGCGGCGACGGCTGCGACCGAGGCGCCTGACATCTGGGCGGGCGCCGTCGCCGCGGGCGCGGTGGGCGCCGCGTCCTCCGCCACAGGCGTTGCGGCGCCCTGCATCTCGACGCCATTGGCGGCGGCTGGCAACGGGAGGACGGCCTCGAGCTGCTGCAGCAAGACTTGTGCACGAGTCGGTTCGTTGGCACGGCGCTGCTGGACCAGCTGGCGAGCCTCGTGCTCAATCATGGCCTCGCGCGCCGCCTTCTCTGCGCGATCTGAGCGGCGTTGGGCGCGCTCGACGAACGCCCGCTGCTTCGCCGGGCGCGCCTCTGGGGCCCTGGCCACGATGACCATTGTCATCAGGACTGAGCATTCCTGCTCCTGCGCCTCGAGGATGCCGGTCGGCAGGCCGAGCTCGCGGGACGCGCGAGGCATCTTTGCCGACGCCAACGCCACGCGGCGGAGATTGCGCCTGTGGTTGACCAAGGCGGCAGGGTCCGTCGGTGGCTGCACCCAGGCTGGGTGCGCACGCGCCTGCTCTGGAATTGCAGGGAGCACGCCAAGGGCCTCCTGTGGTCCTGCTGGACGATCCGTCGTCTCCTCGGTCGACTCAGGCTCACTTTCGTCGAACGTGACGTCGGTGGCTGGCGAGCGCCGGCGGGATGACTGGCGACGGGAGGGCACCTCTGGGGCTGGTTCCTCCGCAGGCTCGCCATCTCGCTGCTGGGGGTGGGCAGGCGGCGGAGGACGGCTCGGGCTGCGCTGACGACCGGGGCGAGCGCTGCTGTGCACTGGCCTTGAAGCACGCCTCCGCCGCCGCTGGTCACGTCCATTTCCTCCGCATTGATCTCGCCCGCTGCCCGCTGCTGCGTGCTGTTGCTGTTGCTGCTGCTGCTGTTGTTGCTGTTGCTGCTGCTGCTGCTGCTGCTGCTGCGGTCCCTGCCTGGCTGCTGCTGCTGGTGCTGCGGCTGATCGCGGAACACGCTGAACGCCGCTGGACTCAGCTGTGGAAGCGGGCAGCAAGTCCTGCACATCAGGTCGCTGGCGGCATTTGCATGCCCGCGTGCTGGACACCACCACGGCGGGGGTGGCGGGGACGGTGGGGACTGCTGACCACCCTTCCCTCCGCCGCCTTTGCCCCCGGTCTGCCACGCCATGGCGCTGTGGTGAGTTGCGAGACACTCCGCGGCGCTGACCAGCCGCAGCACCAGACGTGCCTGTGCACGCTGTTGTCGAGCCCGTCTGTGCCACGCTGGCTCGCTGCAGTGCTGTCGCGGCGTGGCCCGCGCGCCCTAGGCGAACGCGGCGGCGCGGCGGGGCCCACGCGCCCGAGGCGCGCGCGGCGCTGCAGCGGCGGCGCGGCGGGGTCCGCACGCCCGTGGCGCGGGCGCGGGCTGGCGCGCGTGGCTGCCCGCCCCGAGTGGTGCAGCGCCCGAAACCTCTCGAACCGGGGCGGCAGCTAGGGAGGGGGGGAAGGAGGGAGGGAGGGAGGGAGGGAAGGGGGGAGGGAGGGCGGCGGAGAAGGAGGAGGAGGAGGAGGAGGAGGAGGAGAAACAAAAAAAAAAACGGAGGGAGGAAAGGAGGGAGGGAGGGGGGAGGGAGGGAGGCAGAAGGGAGGGAGGGAGGGAGGAACGGAGGGAGGAACGGAGGGAGGAACGGAAGGCGGGGGAGAAGGAAACCGTTTATGTTTCCCGGGGCTTGTGCTGGGGTCTGCAGGAGGAGATCTGCTCCCCGCTGCTGCTTGGCCCCCCCTGCCCCTTCCTTCGTTGGCTAGCAAGGGAGGCGGCGGTGCAGGAAAACAAGGAGGAGGAGGAGAAGGGAAGGCATGGGAAGAGGCAAGACGATGATGGCGACGACGACGACGAAAACGACAAGACGACGACGGGGAGGAGGATGAGGACGACGACGACGATGACGGCGACGACAACGAAAAAGAGGACGACGACGACGACGACGACGACGACGACGACGACGACGACGACGACGACAACGACAACGACGACGACGACGACGACGACGACGACGACGACAGCGACGGCGACGACGACGAGGACGAAGAGGAGGACGGCGAGGACGAGCACGGGGAAACGACGAGGACGGTGAGGGACGACGGGGGCTCGAGGAAAAAAACGAGGGAGGGGCGAGGGAGAAAAACTGGAGGATGGACGAGGGGAGGCCGAGGCAAGGGTCGAGCGAGGCCCGAGGAACGCCGAGGGAGAGGCCGGCCCGGCGGAGGGACAGCGCGCTCACGCGGGCGCGCCCGAGGAGCCCGCGCCCCCGCCGTCCAGCGACCGCCAGGCCAGGTGCCCCTCCTCCGCGCTGGGCGGGGCGCCCAGGTCGCCCAGGCCTTCGCGGGAGGAGGGGGGGGGAGGGAGGGAGGGAGGGAGGGAGGGAGGGAGGGAGGAAGAGGGGGGGGGAAGGGAAAGGGGGAGGGAGGGAGGGAGGGAGGGAGGGAGGGGGGGAGGGAGGGGGGGAGGGAGGAGGCTCCGGTGGGCCACCCCCGTCTCAAAGTTCCCCGGTTGGCGCACCCCCTCTCCCCTGGGAGCGGGCACCGCCCGGCGGTGTGCCGTTCTTCCGATGGGGGGAATTTGCCATTTTCGCCTTTCAAGCGCCCTAGGCGATTTTGACAGCGTTTTCTATTTTGGGCTCGTGACAGGCTGAAAACTGTATAAAAACGCTACGGCAGCTGTTTTGGCGTTTTTTTTTGCGGGGGGGCGTCTTTTTAGGGGGTCCATGCTGAAAACGCGAAAACAATATCTGAAAACGCTGACGCTAAAAATGACATCCAAGACGCCGAGCTGAAAACGCAACAAAAAAAAAAAAAACGCCCTGGGCAAATCCCACCAGCCCTTTGGGCGTGAGTGGTTTAGAGAGCCCGCTCTGTTCTCAACCCCCCTTCTTCCCCTTCGGGGAGGGGTTTACCCCTCCCCCTACCCCCTCCCCCTGGGCCTGGAGAGGGCGCCCCGCGGGTGGTTGGGGGGGTCTTTTTCGACTCCTGGGAGGGCTAAAATTCGACACCCCTCACGAGGATTCTGGCCCCGACGGGGGGAGGCAGAAAAATGCTCGCCTCATCTGTGATCGATCGCCCGACATATGGCCCCAAGATACCTCGCAGACCCCTCCCAAAGAGCCCCAAGAGGCCCCAAGAGGCCTCCAAGAGGCCCCCAAGATGCCCCCAAGAGGCCCCCAAGAGGCCCCAAGAGGCTCCCCCGAGGCACCCAAGACGCTCCTGGAAGCCCCTGGAGCCGCCAAGAGGCCCCCAAGACGCCCCAAACGGCCTCCAAGAGGCTCCCAAGAGGCCCGAAGAGGCTCCCCCAAGGCACCCAAGACGCTCCTAGAAGCCCCTGGGGCCGCCAAGAGGCCCCCAAGACGCCCCAAAAGGCCTCCAAGAGGCTCC